CTTGTATATAAATTTTCTATTTCCGAACGTTTTGAATATATTTTTGTATATGAAAATTTAGCAATATAACCTTTTTTTTTTTTTAGATATTTAGACAAATGATATACATCTAAAAATCAGACTTCAATTCTATTTTGACACTTAGCATTTTATTAGCGAAATCCTTTGCTGGCAGAGCTGATTAAGTCTCGCAGCACAATTGTAGTATTATTCTGCTTCTACTCCTCTCTTCTCTTCTTGTTCTTCTTCTTTTTTTTGGGGTTGGCCAGCTGCAAGTTGCACCTTTGCTTGGCTTGGCTTGGCAGAAGTTGCAACTATAAAATTCCAATTTACTCTGCATGCGCGCGACGACTTTGCTTGGCAGCCAGACAACCAGCAGCTCAGCCACGCCCCACGCCCCACGCCCATTTACCCTCACCCACACCCTTACCCTTTAGCTGTTGTTAGCAAAAACGCGGCAAGCTGCAGGCTGTTGCCGCTGCTGCCTTTTGGCTGCTGTTTCTCATTCTCCTGCTCATTCTCATTCTCATTTTCGTTTTGGGTTTCAACTTCGTCTGAGTTTTGCTCTTTGGCAACTCTTTTACTTCCATTTTTTTTTTAACTCTTTTTTTTGTGTGTGGCGCAATTTTATGTATTTTTATGGTAGGTTGCAGCCGCTGCCATTGCCGCTTGGCCCGGAAAACGGAAACCGAAAATTGCTACTTATTATGTTACTAACTTTGTGTTGCAGCTACGTTGCGCGCTGCTTCCCCCCTCTCTCTCTTGCTCTCACGCTTGCTATCACTCTATCTGCTATCTCCCTCTGCCTCTGTCTTTCTCCTCTCCAGCTGTGTGCTGGCCCGTTTGGCTCGTGTGATAATGTCAGGTTTTGTTAAAATTAAATTGCATGTCTTGCTGCGTTGAAGTTAAATTATTGCCTCCAGCTTCCAGAGGTGTAGACGCACCTCGGCTCTTCCTGTCTATGCCCCCTCTCTCGCACTCTCACTATCCCCCTGCGCTTTGTGTGTGTGAGATCTGCATCGCGTCTGGCGTTGTCGAAGTTGTTTGAAACTTTTTTAGTTTTTGTAATACTCATTTGCACACTAAAAACATGTCTTTGTTAGGCTAAAACATGAATTGTAAACAACTGATTAATTGTGGCTTGTTTTAACATTAATGCTTAGAGAATGAGTTTCTGAAGGGAGAGTAGTTACCTTGTATTTCCATTACACAGATAATAGAGTTTCTGTATACAAGCACATATATTGTATAAAGACAAGGTATACATACATATATGATGTAGTACATATTAAATCACCTTTAATTTACCTTATCGCCTTATATTAAAATAAAGTATATCAACTCAACCTCTATTATACAGAATATAAACAAGCTCGCCTTTCATATACTCATTTTCAGTTAAGACACCTGAGAGAATTGATTGTGCGACTTACACATTTACAGGCTTTTGAGATTATTGATTACTAGTAATTTAAGTCTTGCTTAAAAGTTTTTTTTTTTTTTTCAAGTCTTGCCTAAAAGATTTTTATTTAAGAGATGAAAGTAATTCCTGCTTAAGAGATTGTATTTGTTTAAAATTTGTTTTGTTATTTCAAAGATTATTTTTACAATATGACTAATACATCAAGCTCATATATTGACACAAATTTCAGGATTATTTAAAAACTATTTAAAATAGATCTGTAGCACTTTTTTCTATCTTTAATTGATTTTTTTTTTATTTTTTTTTTATGTCAATGTTAATCTTTATTTACTTTAATCAACCAATTCAATCTATTCATTCATTAAAAACTAATTCATCCCATAATTTCCAAATTAATTTAAAGAACTCTCTCTTTAAACGATGTCGCGACGAAAAGAAGTTGCTGGCCAATTCATTTGTTTGCACAGAGTAAATATTTTTTAAAACGTCATTTCACATATATCTTATATATCCATTTTTTTTTATAAATATATATATACAGACATATATTCTGGCATTGCGGGAAGTCGGCAAAAAAAAAAGTAAAAATACAAAGATTTTGTTAGCTGCGCAAAGTATGCAACAGATTTTTTCTTAGCACATGCACGCCGCATGGTGCCAACTACAACAACAACAACAACAAGAAACGGCCTCGACAGGCAAACAAGCACCGAGTTTTTGGCTTGCGCAACAATGTAAGCGAGGGTGAATTTTTTTCCATTTTTTACTCGTTTCACTTTGGACTGGTCACACGCTGCGATTTTTACCGGCATTACGAAATATTAACAACGCAAATGCGAAATACGCCACCGCATGTGGCATACCAGAGAAATGGTTATGGAGTTAAAAATACCAATAGGACAGAGAGAATTCATATATGTGAACATGCGTGTTTGTGTGAGTGTGTGTGCGTGCCCAGTGGGCGTGCGAGGTGTGTAAAATGCTGCGTAACGAATTGGCACCTTAAAGCACAATTTGCATAATAGCTCAAAGCATGAACACGCAGACATTTGATAATAAATGAAATCTATAGAATAGAGCTGGTTAAAATTAAGTGAATTATGTACAAAGTTTATAAAGGGAATTTTAAATTCAACATTTATAAAACAAGAAAACAGGTATAAATGATCTTATGGGGCTGGCGAATAGCAGCTGACTAATTGATTCCTTATGCTCTGATCGTTTTTTCTGCCGAACAAAAATCATGCTGCTCGCTCTCACCCTGAGTGAGAGAGAGCCATCGCTTCTTTTTCGTTTTCGTTTTCTGTTGAGCGACTTGAGTTTAACTATTCGTGTGACGCTCTTTAACCGAACATCGTTTCGTGAGAGATCCGACTGACGCTCACACAATTACACTCAGTAAGAGCTCAGCTTCACATACACATGCACGCACTCACTCAATTCACTGACGCAATTGATATGTTTAGCTAACACCACACTCACTTACATACCAATACAGGCAAGAGACGCTTTGTTTTATTTAACTCAAGCGAACGATCGGGTAAAAGCAAGAGCGAAAAAACGAGATCGATCTAGTGCTCTGAGTTTATTCTCAGAGTATGAGTGGAATGTGAGTGAGTGAGTGTGTGTAATACAAACACTATTTTCAGGCATTAAAAAAAGATCAAAAGCTAAAAAGGAAGACATTGCTTTTTTTATTATTTCAGGTCACTTCAATATATGCTTTATTATTTTATTTATAATTTAAACGTATAAAGTGCATTTTATACCTACTTCCAGCTCAACAATTTCCTGCAGAACATTTCACAATCGAAAATACGCCACTTTTATCACAACCAAACAGTTTCACTAGCTACAATGCCCCATGAACCTAAAGCCTAATGCTTTGAAAATCCAACGATTGAATTGAAAGTTCAATATTATGGATAATGTATCTGCGGAAAATAAGTGCAATAAAATGAAAACAACTAAGTGACATTAGATGGCAATCAGACACGTTTGAAAAGCCATAAAAGTGGAAATATGTTGCCAAACTTCAGGGGACAGCCACAGGCGACACACACACGCACATACATGCATACACACATGTGCACTTATTATTTACCAAACACGTCCTAGAGAGAGAAAAACACGTACTCAATTTAGAGCTAGACAAGAGCAGAGTTCAAGGGGAAGTTTTCGGCTTGTGCAGCTGCAGGAACTTTAAGGGATTGGGCCACACACAGAATTTCTGACAGTCCAACTGTCGCTTATAGTATTTAGCAGAGATAGAGAGGCAGAGAGTGAGAGTGAGAGAGCTATATATAGATGTATAGTGGAGTCAGACAAGAAATTAAACGCAAATCAAACAACAACAAGCAGCATAAAGTAAATTTCACATTTTTTATTTATGATTTTTCTTTTAAGTAAAACGGAAGAAAACTTTTTCGACATCTCTCTTGACAACATATTGAACGCATTTTGTGTGTTGACTTTTCAAAATATTTGCCTCGATTATTTGTCCAACAAGAATTTGAGGCCTGCTAAGGTCATGTGACACTCGCATACGCCACGTGCTGTGGCCGTCGGACAGGCAAACCAACCCAAGTCAAGGCGCACGTCACATACTTGTCTTCAGATCCTCTGTCCCATGTCGTGTGTCCTCATATCCTCTGTCCCCTCCTCTGTACTCTGTCCTCTCAATAGTCCCTTGTCCTGTCAACTTTTTGTCTACTGTTCTCTCTCTCTCTCTCTGTCTCTCTCTGTTCCTTTCTTTATGCTGCTTCCGCATACGTGCAAAACATTTGCAGGCCAAGATTTATTATCCTGCCACGTGTTGTTGCAAGCTGCAACAGCAGCCGTTGCCGTTGCCCTCGCTCCCCCAATATTTAGGCAAATCTATTGATTTGGGTTGTTGCGTGGGCAAGGTCAGGGAATTACAGATCCGCACGTGTGGCGAGGCACGAAATAAGGAAATGCTGTCAAGTTTTTGGGCTATTGACAACGAATTTCAGCCAACTCACTTGAATGAGGTCAAGGAGGCAGCCTGGCTTACATGTGTTAACAGACTTTTTTTCTATGATGAAAGTAGTATGTAGATATATTGGATGTTATAAAAAATATTTTGGTTTATAAGCTGTCAAAGACTCTTCTATCAAATAATGACGATTTATTTTGCATCAAGGAGGTTTTATTAGTATTTAGCCCAAAGTTAAACAGTAAAATGTCTTCTGATATATTTTTCTCTTTCATCTTAATTATAAGAATACTAAGAAATATTTTAAGGAAATACTTAAAAGAAATACTTAGAGGAAATACTGAGAACTAAGAATTGATGAAAATACTTAAAGAAAACACTTTGAGGAAAAACTTTAATGAAACACTTTGAGAAAGAGAAGATAAAACAATTAGAGGAAATACTTCGATGAAATACTTGAAGGAAATACAGAAAGGAAACACCTAGAGGAAATGCTTCTCAAGACTGCCTAGGCGTAATACAATATATCAGGAATGCTCTATGCTCTATTTCAGAAACGAACTTGAATTATTTCACTTTCTTTCAAATTTTTATTTGACTTTTTGCTAGCTCTGGCTACATACATTGGCTTAAGACTTAAAATTTGGGACAATAAATTTAGAGTAATGTTGATCTCTCTTGAAGATCTGTATAAAATTGTAAATCTATATGAATATATATGTGTGTGTAAATATATTTACACACTTAGAACTCGTCATTTCCGGTCAGAGCATCTGCGGATGGGTAATGGGAGCGCAGGAGCATGCAGCGATCCCTGTCCACGAAGAGAGTGCGTCGCTTCAGCATGATCTCACGCTCCAGCGTGCTGCGCACACCGACGAGCGCCTCCTTCGTCTCCTCGGCCGCGGTGAGCTCGTGCAGCATGGCCGTGACGCTGCTCTGAATGGTGTGCACCTCGTCGATGAGGCGCTGCTGGGCGACGTCGCGACAACTCTCCACGTTCGGCCGGAAGCTGCGGTTGTGCATGCGCGTCTGGGCGACCTTCATGGCCGCATCGAAGCTGCGAATGCGACCGTGCAGCTGCTCTATGCGGGTCTCGGTGTCGGCCAGGTCCTGCAGCACGCGGTGCAGATCGTTCTCGAAGCGCTTCACCGCCTCCTGGGTGCAGTTGATGCGCGCGGTGAGCGACTTTTCGACGACGTCCGCCTGGGTGCGTATGTCCCGGGCGCCATTCAGCAGGATGGCGTTCAGGGTGCTGCGCAGGTCGGCCGATCTCTGGCGGCACTTCTCGCACTCCTCCAGCGTCTCCAGGCTGAAGTGCTCCCAGTACTGCTCCGAGGACTGTTCGATCGGCTGACGCACTGCACCCATGTGGAACATGATGGTGCGTGAGTTATTATCCAGGCCCAAATTGATGGTGTCTATGTCGTAGGACTCCTGCTTGTCGCTCCAGTCAAACTCGAGCCGCTGCTTGGCCGCGCGATTCTCCATCTGCTGGGCCACAAAGTCCTCCATTGTCTTCAGCAAGTTTCGCCTGATCTCGGCTATCAGCGCCAGCTCATTCACCAGCTCCTCCTCCGTCTGGTCGCGCACCAGCTCCGTATCCGGTCGACCGCAGCGCTTCTCGATGCACTCCTTGACAATCGACTCGGGCACGCCCAGCACCACCACCGCCTTGCGCAGTCTATTGCGCTCCTGGTCCACCATAAAGATCTCATCCGTCATCGCCTTGATCGCATTCTCCAGCGTACTCTTCCACTTGCAGATCACCTGAGCGCGTTGCCTCAGCTTCTCGGTCGTCTCGTTCTGGGTCTTGGTCACCATGGCAGTCAGACGCTGATACTCGGTGGTAGAGCTAAAGCGATTCCTATAGGGGGACAAGGTAGAAAGGGAAATGGAAGAGATGAGGTGGGATCCAAATACGAAGAAGGAAGGGAGATGGGAGAAATCATGTTTGGTTAGGAGCAGAGGTCAGAGAGGGTAAAGCAAATGTGAAAGAAAACAAATGATAAAGATGACTGGAAAAAGATAGGAAAACATTCCAAGTAGGAGTGCAGATCAAAAGAGAGGGATAGGGATGTCGAAGGGCTAGGCTCATCTTACTTATCGGCCTTATCCAGCACAGAGTTGACGTGTTGAACGGTCTGTTGATTTTTGGCACGCCATTCATTCGAGCTGAAACGTGTTATCGAATATCTATCGACGACCGGCCGAGTGCCCGTCAGACCCGCCATCGGGCTCCAGTCGACTTTGCCCGTGGCCCAAGGACCAATCGGTCCCATCGGAGTCATCGAGTCCTTCTGGGGCAAATCGTCGCCCGGCTGGGGCAGATAGCACGGCGGATTCTGTAGATTATCTGCATCGGGGTTAATGGAGCGCTGCAGGGAGAGAGAGAGAGGGAGATACTTTATAGCTGTCTACACTGGATATATTCGCTGGCTGACTCACTGCAAATTGAATCTCCTCCGTTTTGATGGGCGCCCTTTTGGCCTGCTCCTGCTTGATGTCCAGCAGCTGCTGTTGCTGATTATCGACTGCCGCTTGCAGGTCGTGCTGCACCTGGTGATGGGCCTGGGCGGGCTCCTCAACCACCTTCTTCAGATACTCCTGCATCTGTCGCTGCTCGTCCTCTGTCGGGGGCGCAAGGCCCACGGGCATCGGGTCCCACTTGCGGCGCCGTATGGGACCCATTTCGGGCGGCGGCGGGCAGATCAAGGGCGCCGGACACGCGGACGTCGGATGCAGGTCAATGGGCTGGCTGACGCAATCGCCGCCGCCATCGTAGAGATCCTTCTCCTTGCAACAGGCCATTTTCAATCAAACGAAAAAAAAATTGTCTCAAATGTTTTTTTACACTTTATCTTAAGCTTTTTGGGGGTGGCTAAACGCTTAACACAAAACTCGGTAGTATATAACTGAGAATTTTCAACTAGTTTCATTTGAGGGCTGTAAACAAGGCGAAAGGTTGCTTTGGTTATACGAATTTGCTTGGGCAACAGTTGCCAGGCTCATGGGGAATCGGGGGAGCCATGGCAGCGGGAGTACCCTAGTGGGGTTACTTGATATAACTAATATAAAATACCTATAAGAATAGCTAGAATCAACCCCGTCAAATAATCTTTCTGACTGCAGAATGAAAGTGCTCAAAATAAATCAAAAACCTTCATTAAAATATCAGCGAAAATTCGTTTGTATTCACAAATTTGACATTTCTTACATTTACATTTAGTTTCATTGCGCCAGCATAGACTTTAGTTGTTCGCCATATTCTGGAAGAACATAATGGAGAACTCGAGGACATTGGAGGGCTTATAGCGCAGCACATTGAGGACATAGTCCTGCATGAAGTCAGCCAACTCCGAGTTCGATTCCAGGTACTTTGTCGTGTTCTCATAGTTCAGAGCCTTCAGCTCGCGGAATTTGCGTGAGAGGACGGGATCCTGTCGCCACATTAGCTCCAGCTTGGGCAGGATGAGCTCCTTCTTCTTGGGCGGCGCGCAGACGGCGTGCAGCAGGTAGTTGTAGCCCTGCCAGTAGTGCAGAATGATGCGGCCCTCGGGCGTCATAAAGGTCTCGGCGACGTCCTGCAGCTCGTCGTTGAAGCACTGCTGCGTTATGATGTGAATGGCGTTCTTGTAGGTGCGATAGAAGATCCGGACGATCTTGCGTTCCTTGTGCACGACCAGATTGCAGCGTAGCACACGGCCGTACAGATTCATCGTGTAGTACTCGAAGGTGCCGACGAAATTATTGCAAACGAGATGGCGCATGAGCAGCTGAATGCCGCCGTCAAGGACGAAGGTGTGATCCCGATCCTTGATGTCGATCGTCGCCTTGAACTTCTGCGACTCCTCGTTGATCTTCGTTTCGCGTATGGCCGTCAGATATAGGTCAGCATGATTGCGCACCTCGAGCGTCTTCTCCACGACCGCATGATCGATGCGATCCGTCTCCGAGCGTTTCTCACAGATCAGCAGAAACTGATCGTCGTATTTGCCCTTCAGCTGATGCCCGCACTCGGCGATGCCTTTGCCCTTCTTCATCCGGCTGCTGCTATAGACCACATAGCCATCGAACGCCTCCTCCACATTTAGGCAGAACTTGCCGATCGTCAGCAATTCACGCTCGAAAAATATCTTCAAATTCTCGCTCAGTTTGCAGTTGCTATTGCGCAGCTTCGAGATGAAGAGCGTTTCCTTGAAGATCACCGAATTTTTGACTGGCAGAAACTTCTTGGGATCGATTTGCCAATCGCAGACCTTGTACTGATCGTCGGATGGTTCGATAGGTCGTATCAATGCCGATATAATACTCGATACACTGATCTCATCCTGGGCGCTGAGCTTCTCCACCTCCTCGCAGGCAGAGGCCGCTGCTGTCTTCTTGTTGGGATCGCGAAACTCCTCTAGATCGCAGGGCACAAACAGTGGCGGATCCAATTTAACGGTACAGTGAGCTGAAAATATTGGGTCAACGCTGGGTTAACACAATCGCACGTTAGCTAAGCTTACCCATGATTTAATATATGTATAAACGTTTTGACTTAGCCAAAATGAAAAAAAAAAAAAAAAATTAATAATTTCAACAATAATCAAAGAGTTAAGTTTTTGATGTAACAAATTTAGAAATGAATCCATCAAATTCTTCTGAACATTGAGTGGAAAGGCTGAGCAGGCTTTTGGCTTTCAAAATATGACTTGGCGTTGATTTTTAAATACGATTTATGTGAGGTTGAATTAATTTATTTGTTTATATTTTATTTTAAAAT